TAGGCAGGGCCCAGGTCTGTGAGGGACCCAAGCTTTCCTGAGTAGGGCCAGTCCCCAGAGTCTCTGACCCACTCAGGGCAGATGGGAGCCCAGGCCTCACCGAGGACACTTCAGGAGGAAGGTCCTAGGTCAGCAGACAAGAGACTGGCCAAAGGCCCAATCCCTCTGATGGGGTGGCTTGGGTCTGAGAGGTTTGTAGGGTTTGAAGAGAAACAGATACTAGTCAAGGAAGTACCTGGAGTCCCAGGCTCTGAACTACAGTTAGGGCTTGCCATGGCCCCACCACCCTGCTCTGAGAAGGAAGGGGTCTGTAGATGACTTTATCTGGTGGCAGGGACCCCCTGCAAAGCCTGGCAATCATAAAAGGGGCCTCGTGGTGGGTCCCAGCAGCTCGGGAGGTAAGAGGAGCAGCGGCTGCCAAGCTGCCCAGCTTCGCAGAGGCTCTTGGTGCACCACGGCCCGCAGGCACCCAGTACAACCCCCGCTCTGCAGCCATGATGTCCACAAGGAAGGTCAGCTCTGCCAAGGAAGCAGCAAAGGAGGAGCCCAAGAGGAGGTTAGCGAGGTTGTCAGCTAAACCTGCTCCTGCAAAAGTGGAAAGGAAGCCAAAAAAGGCAGCAGGAAAAGATAAATCTGCAAACAAAAAAAGCAAACAAGAAGGAAAAGGGGCACAAAGGGAAAAACAGGCCGAAGCAGCTAACCAAGAAACCAAAGATTTACCCGCAGAAAATGGAGAAAGTAAAAACCAGGGGCATGCAGCCTCTGATGAGGCAAGAAAGAAGCCAAGTTTGATTGTCATACACCATGTCTTATCAGTGGTCTCTGTCTTCTTTTTTTCTTGTGCAATCCAGAGGAATACTTTTATCAACTATTTTGTAAATGCAAGTTTTTTAGTAGCTCTAGAAACATTTTTAAGAAAGGGAATTCTGCCGCATCCTATTTTTTAAAATGTAAATACTTTTTTTATGAGGTGAAATCATTTGCTGGTTGTTTATTTTTTGGTGCAACCAGAGAATAGTGGGCTATTGAATATGGAAGGCTTTGATTATCTTGGGTGTCAGCTTAACATCCCATAGGTGAGGGTAGTTTCTATATAACCCTAAGCGTACTAAATGGCAGTTGGAGTCGGTCATGCATTTAATATGTCTTGAACATTTTAAATTACTTCTATTCCCATGTTTTTGGTAGAATTGTTTCCTAAAGAAAACCACTCCTTGATCTTGGCTCTCCCTGTCAGAATTTCGTGCACTCTGTAACATCTTTGTTGGTAGTTTTCCTAGTAACTTTGTTAACATGCTGTGAAAGATTGAAAATTTGATTATGTAGTGTATATGATATTAAAGTGTGAGTTAGTGAGACTTCGTATAACAGTATATCGACATTTGAAGATATTGGTACTTGATAGTCTATTGAAGAAAATTGACCTCCCAATTTTAACCTGAAAAGTCACTGGAATAACTGTTTAGAAAAAAATCACAACTACATGACTTTTTAGGTTTTTGTGCATATGTTAAGAATTGCATACAACTTGAAAAGTCTGCGTACTTATTCTCAAAACAACCAATAAATTCTCGTTTATGAAAGCATTTTTTGAAGCACATAAATAAAAAGAAGGGCCTGTTGAGGTCCTTCCCAGGGGCTCAGGGGCTCAGTACCCCCTTCCCAGGAGCCCATCCCTTTCTCACTGCCCCAAAAGACATGGGGTCTGAGAGTTGGGTTCCTTTAAGACAGAGGAGCGCTGGAAGTACAGTGAGCAGACAGGGCTGAGGCTGGAACAGGGGTTGTAAGATGGAGTGGTTACCTTCACTGATGCAGGAGCCTCTGAGTGGGCAGTAGCGAGAATGCTCAGGGTTAGCGTCTCTACATAGTGGGGTATACTACAGACAGCAGTGTACCTGAGGAGCCCCACATCTGCCTGCCATCCCTGGTCCAGTCTAGGGACTCGTGTCCAGCCAGGGAGTAGACAGGAAGGACTCTGCCCCAGGGCCTGAAAAGTTGGGCTGGGCTGGGGGATCCTCATCAGGAGTGGGGACTGGGTTAGCTGCTAGGGACATCGTCTAGAGAACACAGAGAACAGCCAGAAGGAGGGCCCAGTGCCCACTGGCTGGAGTGCGCCCATGGCTTTCCTCGCACACGTGCTTGCCTCAGGCTTCCTGAGCTGAGGCCGGGCCTCAGGGGCAGCAGTCTGCATGGGAGGGCCACACTGTGGGCTGGAGGCACCACTCCCTTCTCTACCATGAGAACTAAGAGGCACATTCAGTCGGATCAGAGTTGGGCCCTGCTCCATTCCCCTGAGGGGGTTAAGGAGGACCCAGCTCATATATCCCAACCCCTCAGTGAGAACCGCTAGGGCAGGAAGCACCTGGAGGTTACTGAGGGGAGAAGGGTCATGATAATCACCCCCACACATAGCCCTGCTCTCCTCCCCCCAGAGCTGTCCCCTCTCTCACTTTTCAGGCTTAACTCTTGACAGCAAAGCTAGCCAGTTTGGCCCCTCGCTCAGCCAAGTGGGGCAGCTGGGAGGCAGGGCCTCACTCAAGAGGGATCCTTGAGTGCCATCCCCCTTTTGTTCACTCGGGGAAAGAGATGCACACATTGCCTACCAAGGCTCCTTGGGGCTGAGGGCAAGCCCAGCCAGGGCAGCTCTGGACAGTTGGGGTGCAGACGTTTTAGTTCCCGGCCTCCCGGCCGGCCTAAAACCCTCAGGTTTGGCTCTGGATCTTGACACAGCTCCTGTCTTGATGTGACCAACAGCAACTGATCCATCAGCAAGTTCCTGGACCTTTGTTTCCCCATCTGTAACTTAGAGGGAATGGTCCATGTGGCTCAAAATGATTTCTGAATACCTGACTCAGAATCACCTCAGCAGTTCGATTAAAACACAGTCCTGGGCTCTGTCTAAGCCAGTTCTGGATGGAGCCCTGGAAACCATTTTCCAGGTGATTCAGTTTAAGTAGTCCTGCCCATGTGCAGCCCAACCCAGAAGCCTTGGATGATCAGAGGGGAACTGTGGGCCAGAAGAGCCACCTGCAATCAAGGCCGAGTGGGCCCCCCTCATTCCCTTGAGAGGTGGAAGGCACCAGCACACTCAGCTCCGCCCACACACCTTCCTTGCCCTCGGCTCTGTTCCCAAAGGATGGAAGAGGCTTTGTGAAAACTTGTGGTGGTGGGGGTGGCGGGGCGGGGGGTAGCACGGCCTCCTTCAGGCAGGAATCCTGGGCAGTTCTGTTCCTGCCCCACCACCTCAGGCTTGGGCTCCTCTGGACACCACCGTAGTCCCTCTCTTAGCAGAGCCCTTAGGGCAGGGTTAGGTCTCTCCCCTAAGAATGGGCTCCCAGGACAGAGTTGTCCTGTGGAGAGTGCCGCCTCCCCGGGTCAGGTCCAGCTCGACAGTCTAACCCAGCCTCTGCACCATTATGGTCCTCTAGGACACAAATGGACAGATGGACTCAGGTGATGAGCAGCCCCGCCTTTCTTGAGGCCTCAGACCCTGCCCTGGAACTATGCTAACCATTATAATGCAAGATGTATGCCTGGCAGGGAGCAGGGGCACCATAGGGGTGCAAGGAAGTATGAGGGAGGAAGGAGGGATGGAAGAAGAAAGGCAGGAAAAAAGACATAAAGAAAAAGAAAATAAAGGAAAGAAACAGCCAAATCCAGCAAGGACCCAGCAGTGAGGTGGGTGAGGCTGCCTTTGGCCGGAGATCCAGAGTGACGCCACCTATATCACAATCCTTTCTTTCTACACAAGTAGCCTCGAGTGATTCTAAGTCTCCAGGCTAGTTTCCTGTGGACGACATAGACCACACGCCCTAGTCTCCAGGTTCCAGGAATGAACAAGTTGACACGCTTTTGCTGGATTTGGAGCCATGTCTTCTGGTTCCACCCTCCCGAGTTCCCTGTACCCGAGACACACAAGGGTAGTTCCCTTTCCCAAATGAACCTCTAGGCCTCTGCACATGCTGTTCAACTCACACCGTACCTTCACACCTGCCTTTATCTACTTCTTCCTACTGGTCAAGGCCCACTTCAGGCAGCAACTCTTCTGGGCCCCATGACACCTTCTCATTCCCAGGCTAGCAGAGCCCCCGCCTGAGCTTCCACAGCACCCTTCCTCCGGGCTGTCACTGTGGTGACCACGATGTGTTGGGGTTGCCTATCTCTTGGCCTGTCCAGTACTGGGGGTGGGAATACTACCACTCCAAACCCCGGCCTGGTACAAGGCCAGGCTCCAACTGCCAGGAGTCACAATGTAGCTGTGTATAGGAAGGATGTGGAACTGGGCTCAGTGAAACCCAGAGTTAAGGTCCCTGTCAGGCAGGTCTGACCAGCCCTCCTGGCCTGGCTCCTGGAATAGATGGAGTAGAAACCATGTCCAAGAAGGTACCTCAACAGCTCTGAGAACAAACCTCTTCAAGAATAGAGCCCAGCCAAAGTGTCTGTGTGTGTGGCG